GCAAATATGATCTGGTCCACAAGGAAAATATACAGCATGTACTTTTTGATAAGGAATATATTCCTTTTTTATGTGTAGCTGAAAATCAAACAACATGGCAAAATGTTTGAATAATAAGAAACAACATAAGAGACAGTTCTTGAATAGCATGATGGAAAGAAACTATATAAAAGGGAATTTAAGCTTTAAAGTTTTCCAGTTTTTCATCAGGATATGTATGCAGAAAACAGGATATAAATAAATCTATAAGTATTACAATAATGTTTGGTTTTCAGCTCCAGAGCTGAAAAACAATTCCTGGGCTGAATATATGCTCAGTTTGTCTCTTAATCCTACGGTTTTTTTTTCCTGGAGCCATTGTTTTGCACCTGATCCAGGATTAGATAATTTTTAAAGAAAGGAACAGCTGGCAAGGTATAATCTTTTGGAATCCTGAGAGAAAGGGAAAGCAATAAATTAGAGAATGACAGAGACCAGGGATCCTGAGTTGGCATCTCTCCCTATTTAATTTGTTTTCAAATCAAACTATTTTTGTTGATGATGTTGTTTTGCTCGCTTCCCTGGAAAGCACTCCTGCCAGGAATGTCCCATTGTGAATGGGTGTGTGCATGGACAGTAGACAATAAAAAAGAACTAAACTTTGGAAGAGCTGAAGAAGCAATGGGAAGAAGAGGTTAACACATTTGTTTGATTTGCACTTTTGTAGTTCCCTGATCACAAGATTTTAAGGAAGAGACTGAATGTCCAAGAGAGTCCAGGCTTGGTCAGGAATCATGGAAGTTATAGATTACCTACACCTCTCTAGTATATTATTGTCAATGCTTCTGAGTTAATAACATAACCATGCAAAATGTTTAAAAAATGATAAATAACATAAGAGAGAATTCTTAAGTAGCATGATGGAAAGAAGCAACCATAACAGGAGGCATTCATTCTTGAAGGCCATTGTAACAATACAGCATTTTTTTTCAATCATATTTGATACTTATTTGAAAAAAGATATAGTTGATATAGTTACATTGAAAATTATATTGAAATTGAAGAATACACACACATATACATCTATACATTTTTAAATGGTTCTGTTCAGGTATTTCACCGGGATGCTCAATAGAATAATTTACCATAATTTCATGGGTAGCTACACACACACACACCCAGCTTTTCTACTTCCTTTCTGTGCAAGCCTTCTCATCAGCCACCTGGAAGTTCTAAGAGAATGAGGTTTTTATAACTTTGTTCCCTGTTACCAATTTACTGTATTTTGCTGAAATCATGGTTCTTCCTTGCCTCTCCAAACAAAGCAGCTGATGTGAGAATAGAGAAAAATGCAACTCAGAAAGAAAAAAAGCAAATACCACATTTAAGGTGGAGAAAAAAAAAACCCAACAATGAATTAAAATAAACTTACAGAAGGCTAGAAGTACAACAGAATATAAGCAGCGGAATAAAACTAAGAAGGCAGGATAACAATTCCCTTATGACTTTTCTTCAGATGCCATTGGAAACAAATACAGGTATAAGCTGATGCTCTCAGGGAACAGCCAAAGCCTGAGGTATGGGGTGTGTGTGCATTCTATAAGATCCTCTATCCAGTTTTAGCAGAGCTGCATCAGCATAACTGTCGCATCAAACTGGATTCCCAGTTTGCTGCTGTCATCAGTCATCCCTTTTATCTCCTTGGAGTTTTTTACTCAATGAACAGCAACACTTCTAGACAGGAACTCAGCCACTATTTGCTTCTGATTCATTGCAAAGATCCCTTTCTCAGATTTCCTTAGTGGGAATTTAATACAGAAGTTTATTAAGGATTAAAGACTGGCAACTCAATTCCATCCATAATCATTCCTCATCCAGAAAATATGCCTGAATGGATGGGATGAATAACTGGCGGAGAAGCAACGCTGGGTCAAAGCCCTAGGGATGCTTTGGACTCACTGAGGACTTGAAACTTGAAGAGCCACATCAAGGGGCACAACCCGGCCCTTCTTCCTGGTCAAGAAGATTCTGCTGTTAGTAACTACCAGTACCTGCCTTGTAATAGTACAAGTAAGGCAGGTACAAGCAATAGTATCTAGAGGAAGGCCTCATAGACGATAAGGTGGTCCAAAGGTAGAGACAGGAAGAGAAAGAAAATTAAGTACTAGTAAATAAATTCCAGATGAAGTGGGCTGTAGTCCACTAAACGCCAATTTGTGGAATAGACAAAAACAGTTACTCTGCTAGATTACAGTTCCATATGGAAATTCAACCAATTCAGCTGTTTATGTGTAAATCCTTACACAGTAAAAAGCAATGGAATAGAAGGGGTTTTTTTTGGGGGGGGGGGGGGGTGTCTCTTAACAAACTATTTAAGAACTTAGCAGGTTCAGTAACCATGGAGTACCGGTTCTGGAGAAGATAGCATTTAGCCAGACTTGCTGATTTCAGACGCTAAATAGGATCTGCCCTGGTTAGTAATTGGATGGGGGAAGGGAGTTCCCTAGGAATTTCAGGACTAGGAGGTAAAGAGAGAAAAACAGAAGGCAAGTGAGGCAAACTACTTCTACATTTTTGCCAAGTAAGCTACAAAAATGTGTCCATGCAATCCATGGTATTTGAGCTTCATCAGAAGGAAATTTTACTTTTGCTAGAAGTACAGAAAACTAAATGAAGAATCTTGGGAAAAAGGCAAGGTCAATTGACATTTCAACCAACTATGCCATTTTCCCAAGATTCTTGGATGTCTAAGACCAGAACACTCTTAAATTATAGCAGTCAATTGCAACTTTGTTTGGAGAACTGGAAGTTTTGGAACGTTGTTCTCTCCAGTAAAATTCTGCAAGACTCCTATTTAAAGTTCTCCGAGGCATATTTCTGCACAAACAGCAATTTTAAGTACGTCTTTAAAGTGCCACAAATAAGATTGTAAGAGCCAGCAGCTCAGAAACAATATAATGTAAAAGGCAGCCTTTAAACCTATGGCTCACAGCAGTCTTCCTGAAGGTTGGTTAGAAATATGGTGTGGGGAAGCAGTACTGTTCTATAAAAGCTCCTTATAAAAGGATTCTTTAAATTTCTGTGGACATATGTGCCTGACATATCTAACATTTTATCCAAGATGTTTCTGCTTCTGGGTAAATAAATATGCATTTTTAATTCAGACACCTTTTTTTTTTAAATGGTTTTATCTGAAGTTGCCTTCTTCTGAGAAATAGTTTTAGAGAAGTTTTAATCTGGGGCTGCTTTTTAAAACCAGGGTCTACAACATAATATCTTAATTGTTAACTTATTCTGCAATTGTAGATTCTTTTATAATGCCAATAAAAGGGGTGGGGTATCTCTAAAAGAAGTGGGGGTTATTTGCCGGAAAACCAAAAGCACCAGGAAGAAAGTTCTTAAATTAAGCTCAATGAGATCAATGGTATCAAAACAGTCTATGACAATTGGCTGAGAGAATATAATGAACAGAATATTTTAGAGGATGACATGACAGATAATTTGGTGTCAGGAACAGGATAAACCACAGAGAGATAGGTCTCATTTTAGGCTTCGCTACAGGCAAAGGAATTACAAGCTACTCCTTTCACAAACACACAGGCATATATGTAAGATGACAACTTTTTATTTATGAGAGACTACTGTCATTTCTTCTGTTCACTGTTAAGAAAAACTAACTTACATCACAGGTTGAGTAACATACACATTGGCAAATTGAGATGCTGCAATATTAAGACTACACATTGTTTACATTATAATTTAAACGTGACAATCAATTAATGTGCCATATAACTTTGTAAATGACTAAAAATATCACTGCAACAAGAAGTGCAGTATATTTTGTTTGTCTTTAGATGTTCCTTACTCCCACTTCCCAGGAAACACCACCATAAATTATGTGTGGTGGTGGTGGGGTGTTAAAATTGAAAGTCAGAGATTACTCTGCTCCTAGAGGCACTCCACGTAAGAATATCCTTAAATCACAGTAGCTTTAGTTGTTTAAAAAACGATTAGACTCTTAATAGAGAATATCTCTATTAAAAGGTTTTATTTGTAGTCTCCTATCACCCGTTATCACCAAGCCATAGAGCTTTCTTTGGAGGGGACGGAGGCAAACAGAAGCCTGCAAAAGGTGCGCATAATCGAGCGAGGGGGATCCTAAAGCAGGTGATGCCTCCTTCCTTGTCCTAAACAAGCCACGGACGACGTGTGAGGAAACATCCCCTGAGAGAAGATGAAGCTACTTCTTGGCTCACAATGAATTTGTGAGAGGAACGCCAAAACCCCTCCAACTCCGTCGCTTCGTGAAGAAAAAAGCTTTCCATTCCTTCCCTCCGACCCCGTTTCTGTTTGCAGATACGTTCGCCTAAACAAGCCGGCGGGCTTAGTTAATGTTAACCTTTGGGGAAGGTTCATATCTGTGGAGATTCTCAGTCACTCAGGTCAGGGTTGTCCCAAAGGTGCTTTTTTTTTTTTCTTCCCCCAAGAGACGACTGGACTTTCTGGTTCTTTCTTCGAAGACGTTTCGCTTCTCCTCCAAGAAGCTTCTTCAGTTCTGAAGCGCAACGTCTTCAAAGAAAAACCAGAAAGTCCAGTCGCCTTTTTTTTTTTTTTTTTGGAGGGGGAAAAAAAGACACCTTTGGGACTTGGAGGGGTTCGGTTTTATTCCTTCGCTCAACTTCTTGTGGGAACTAAGTTGGGAAGGCTCCTTTGCGCTTTACCTGTGGAGCAGGTGCTGGCCGGGCGGGGAGAGGTGAAATACCAAGCGAGGTCACTCACGAGGTCTGAGAATCGCTTCTAAGCAGCAGCTACTAGTAGTACCCCTCACATCTCCCACTCCCCCCCAAAACCCCCCACAAAACATCTGAGCTGCCCAAGGAACCGTGGCTGTTTGTTTGTTTAGTCCGCTAAGCCTCCGCCCTCTGTGCTAGGCGCTGTCTGGAGGGCGCTTGACGGTCGCCCCCGTCCCAGAGCACACCCTCCCCCGAGCTGCCCCCACTTCGGACACCAGCCGGCGTTACCTGCCCTCGCCCGGGGAAGTTCTCGCAACAGGAGGGCCAGGAAGCAGACCAGGTGGCCCCTCAGTCCCGCGGGGCTCGCCGCCATCCTCAATCTGCGCCTGAGCTCTGCCTCTCTCGCGCTCGCTCTCTCTTTCCCTCAGAATCTAGCGGGGTGGGGGGGTGGGGGGGAAACAGCAGGCAGCGCGAGCCGAGAGAGCCGCCTGGCCCCGCCCTGCTCCTCCCCCCCCCCCCCCCCCCCCCCCCCCCCCCCGCAAGTCGTTCAAGCTGCCCCGGGCAGGCGGCGAAGTGGCTTCCCGGAACTGGAACGGGGTCCCGTTGACCCTTCAGTGGCCTGGACTGGGGCGAGTTTGTGACGAGGGAGAAGCGGGGAAGTCCGGTTTCCGGCCTTTCCCGGATCCGACACCCCCTCGGTAGCATGCAACCCCCGCACGCAGACCAGGCTGAAGGGTCCCGCACGCGCGCTGAGTCGGCTTAGTTCTATAGGGCGACTCTGGCAGCGGATGGGATACTCTGCTCAACGGATTACAGGTAGTCCTCGACTTACGTCCACAACTGAGCCCACCGTTTCTGTTATTGAGTGAGACATTCGCTAGGTGAGCTTTGCCCCAGTTGTCAAATGAATCGCTGCCGTCAATAAGTTAGTCACAGGGTTGTTAAGTGAATCTGGCTTCCCAGTTGAGTTTGTTTGTCAGAAGAGTCGCCAAAGGGGATCACATACTGTTTAGGAAAACAGTAACAATAATAAATAGGAACCAGCTGCCAAACGTTGATCACATGATCATTGGGTTGATGCAAAAGTTGTAAGTCACTTCTGTGCGGTTGTAACTCTGAATGGTCACTAAACGAACTCTTGCAAGTCGAGGACTACCTGTGCTGTACGGCTGTGGGAAAATCATTGTGGCCAATTGCAAGCCTCGCGTCTCCCTTTCCGGTATTAAGAGCACCTCTTTGGTGAAAGGAGGCCTTAAAGCTGCTCCAAGACCTTGGGTGTTCTGCCATTCAGCATCCCCAGAATCTAAATTCATGAGTTTGTGTGTGAAGGGTTTTTTCTTCTTCTTTTCCTTCATCCTCCTCTCCTCTTCCCTTTCTCATTTCATTTTGTCAAATTCTAAAACACATTTAGCCCTTTCCTAAATTACCTCACGCCTGTATGCCAGGCCTTCAAAAACCAGATTCTGAGATAAATCCCTCAATCGCTGAAAAGAAACCCTACCCCATGTTTAATCTGTATATGACCTTTCAAATTCCGAATTTCTCTTCCTTCTTTATTCCTTTGCCCCTCTCTCTATCCCTTCCATCCCAAACACAGCCATGCTCAAACAGTCCCTGACCTCCATCACCACCCTTTCATAGCATTCCTCCTAGTTGAGAGACTGGCTCTGATATTTCAGCAAGATCTGGCAGGCCACAGATTTTTCCTATTTACCATTGAATAACATTTCTCAAGAGTGTTGACCTATCCGGAGCCCTCCACAATAAATTCAGAGACTTGGTTTTTTTTTTCTCTGAAGAGGCATGGATGCCCAGAGCAGCACCCTCCCAGTCCTCATAGTCTTCCCACAATGGGGAGATTGTGTTTTATGTGCAGAAGTCTCCGTCCGGGACATCTATTTCTTCTGTTCAGAAACTTTGCGCAGAGAACCCTGACCTAGATGCTCCAATGGCCCAATTTGACCTAAGGCACTTCCTTTGCTCAGTAAGGCTAATGTGCTGTAAATGCTTCCCAGACACCCCAGCTGGACAGTAATGATTAAGTTCCAGGGCAGAGATAGGACATCAAGTTGTATTCATGAGCCCAGATTTCAGCTCCGGGCTATGTATTAATGGAGATTTCACAGACTGCAGAGGGTGACAACTACAGTTACAAGGCCATCAGAGCAGCAGAACTGATATTCGCAATGTGCCTGCAGTACTCAGTACTCAGCGCATACCAAAGTTTTGAAGAGGGGTAGGGAATAAGTGTGCTTTTCTGAAGGGCTTCCCAAATGCTTGGATTCAGCATAAGAAATGGAACGTTAATTAGTATTCAGCCTTGCAGATCAAGAAAGGCCCCTGGGGAAATCTAGGCATGTTAGGACACAGGATTTAAGAAAGCAGGGGAATGAAAGCTATGCAATGCTGCTCCTTACTCAGCCTCTGTGCTTCTGTGTTTCCTCTGGATGGAACATCTGTCAGAAGGCAAGCAAAGGCACCACTCAGCCATGCTGAGCTTCAGAGACTGATCCAGAGATCACCAAGATTATCTCTATCAGCCTCTCAAGTTGGCCAAATCTTTTTACCCCTTAGTGCTTTTTAGATGCTTCCGTCAAATCAACATTTCTGATATCACTTTTTGAAAGCACACTCCAGCTTAGTTCCTAAGGTTAAAAGTTCTTTAATTGTTGAGTGTTCATCCAGTTTTGGGGGTTTCCTCAGCACAAGCGTCTTGTTAACCTGTCCCAAGACACAACAAACTCTTACATGCTTTAGAATTAAGAAATATATGGGGAGGAATTTGTGACCATAAACCCGTGGTGGGATTCAAAATTTTTTACTACTGGTTCTGTGTGGCATGGCTTGGTGGGTGCGGCAGGGGAAGGATACTGTAAAATCTCCATTCCGGCCCCACTCCAGGGGGAAGGTTACTACTGGTTCTTTGAACTACTCAAAATTCCCACTACCGGTTCTCCAGAACTGATCAGAACCTGCTGAATACCACCTCTGCCAAAAACCACTAAAACCAGAAATTGTGTGATCTTATTCAAAATGTGACTGGATGTGCTTCTGTCCAAATTGTGTGATCTTACTCACACAATTGGACAGAAGTACAAATACATACTGTACATAGAGAAATACCAATTTTGCCATTATTTGGCTTATAGTGTCTTCTAGCACCGTCCAGTCATATTTTGAAGAGATCTGAAGCCTATTCTTATTAAAGCTACATTGGCCCAATAGTTGGAAAGCTCTGAAAAGTCTTACAAATCACTACTGGAGATCCTGTAATAAGCAGGGAGAGATGATAGATACAGTGACACTATTCCTGCATCCTATAATACCCTATAATATTGACATTGACATTTTTCCCATCCCTTATTCCTAAAGCATTTCAAGTTTTTCCAGCTTATTATTTATAGGTCAGATAGCTGAAGCCCATGATCAGGGCCACAGGAAAAGAAAGGGACAGCCCTGAAGGCCAAACATCTGTCCAACATTCCTCTTGCAAAAAAGCAGCACCACCGATTTCTTTCTTCTGATCAGAGAGAACATCTCCAGATAGATCATTCCAATCTATTCTAGTCCCTGTTGTTGCTGGGTACACTTGCTGAATGTAACAGAGAATGCTTAAAGATTCCCTACAGACTTCACCCTTGCCATTCCAGGTTGGGCAATTTGAGGCAAGATACTCCATTTTTATGATACCTGGGTCTGATCCAAAGATCATGGCAGCCTGTTTTCAAATGGAGTCTGCTTGACAGAACCTTGTTCCCTTCCCAGACAGAGGCCCCACTCAGTTTTTGCACAGAAAAGCAGCCATAAAGTCCAGGCCAGCAGGAAGGCTGGGCTGGTTCCAGCTTGGGGGTTGTGGGATGTTACTTCAGCTACAGCTGTAAATATTTGCTGGGAACCTAAAATCTGGGTCAACAATTTCAGAGTTGAGCCAGTGACTCATACCCTGAAGCAACAGGGTGACTCAAGCTATAGCCCCAAGGACTTGGGGGTGGGGGTGGAGCAGAGAAGGGGAGAAGAACAGCCACAATGAACCCTAGAGAGTAACCCTTCATCCTTTCTCCATTCTGACCAAAGTTATGTGCTTCTCTGAGAACATGGTTCTTTATAGACTCCTACAACTCTATAAGAGATGTGAGTATGGTCACAGTTGGAAAGGAAAACAAAAAAAACCAGCATCCTAAAGAAGGGGCCATGGAAACTATACCATACGGCAAAGTTTGCCACTTCAAGCAGTAAGTGGTGGATGCCCTAAGAATGACAGATGGGAACCAACATAATTGATGGTAGTTAAACAAACCCCTAGGACAGGGATGGGTAATCTGGTCCTCTGGTAGCTGCTAAAGTGGCTCTCACCAAAATGAAAGATTGCAAAAGTGAAGGGAATGGTTTCTCAACAGATTGTATCCTGTGTACAAAACGGATGGGGCTGGTGTAAGGAATCAAGCCCATTACAATAGTTGTGGCAAAATACTTTGTCACTCATCTAAGAAAATGGGAGGGAAGAGGAATAGAAGTCAGAGAGATGCTTGTAGTTTTTTTTTTTTTAAGACATAAGCTAAGTAGGAAGGTGGGTACATATGTGATACTTTAAAATTTAGAAAAAGTATGAAATAGATTAAGTCTCTCTTGGTTTGTTTGATTACTCTGATCTTTGAGTAAACATATGTCAGGGGAAAAGGAATGGAATAAAATTTGAAAGAAATAAAAAATGCAGGTTGCTATAGTTCATTCCATGGTCTTCTCTCTCAGAGTACTGTAATACAGTCAAGCAAATGAACCATATTCATATGGCATATTAAGGTGATGGCTGGCTTCTCACATCACGTTGATCTACAAGCTATCCAGCTCCATTGAAGCCTAGTCTACCCTGTGGTTGTCAGAGTTGATACAATCTATGTACAGACTGTTCCTTAAGGCACTTGGTCAAAGAGACTGTCCATATTCTTGGCTACAATTGTCCTGGAGAGGCTGAGCCTGCACTTCTGCAACCATATGTTTAGGAATCAACATCACTCAGTTCAGTGGAATTCCCTTCTGAGAACAGCAGACATGCAAGATAAAGGAAAGCAAACATAACTTGGGTCAGATATTTATTAAGTACGTTATTTTATTTTCCCCTGGACACATCAAAACAGAGATTTTTATTTCAATGAGGCAATCTTCCAAGAAGGCCAAAGAGGACATGAGAGTCAAAGAATGAGAGTTTAGTTTGCCCAAGCCAAGACATAAGCTCTTCAGAACTTGGATTTGGGGGGTGGGGAGGAAGACAGGCAGATTTTAAATAATTAATGGCATTTAACAAACAGTCCTCCTCCCAACTGGTTGATTTTTCCAGCTCTGACAGACAGAATCTGATCGCAGCCAAGAGGGTCAGTTAAACCTC